ATTTTTGTTCATGTGTTAAAAGCTATGTTTACCTTCAAAATGTTATGGGACTCTCAGAAAATGATAAGAAAAGAAAGCAAACTTTTAGTGTCCTTTAGGAGTACTTTTGTATAGGAGTTTAAAGAGGGGACAGTACATTTATGAAAAATGGTTAACATTGAACATATGCTGAGATTATTGCATCATCAGATGATAATATTACTTTGCAGAAAGATAGTAAACCATTGTTTATAACATCTAACCACTAACTTCACCATTTCATTAGTATGTAAAGGAAGTTTAAGGGACTCTGGTTTTGATAATATACAACTGATTTGGTGTTAACAAATTTATGGACTTGCATAGTCGGGATAAAGGATATTTGTATGATATGGGGGCAAATTTATTTCATGGGGAGAACTTTTTGGATGATGAATGAATCTTGTGTAACAAAGGACTCTCTCTATCTGGATAATGTAAGAAACTCCTTTTTTTTCCAAATCAGAGTTCGACATTGCTTTAGTAGCTGTCTTTAATGATGAGTTTGAAATATGTTGATTTTACCAAAGAATTGAAATTATGGATGTTTTAGCATTTGCCTTTCATAACTACTGTCAGTGGTATTAATTGCATATCTCCACTTTTTTTTTTTTTTTTATGAGAGACAATGGTTCTGAGAATGTGTTTATGTATTACCCACCTTGTTATAGATGATATGGGGAGGATGTTACAGTCAATTTCATTTTTGTTTATAATGATTGAAAATTGATTTAGAGCGATATCAGCATAACATAACTATTACAAGTGTAAGTATGAGTAGAAATTAAGATAAATAAAAGAAAAAAACATACATGAAAAAGAGGAACACCAAAATTTGGCATCTCAAGCTGACTGGGTTCCTTTTTTTATATCTATTTGGCTTTTACTGTCTAAAGAGAAGTCTTGTCGGATTTAAAATGTTGCTTTCTGGTTTCTTTGTTTGACTGTGTTTGCAATTTTGTTCAAGTGTAATTGGGATTGAATATTGAATGAAGCAAAAGGGAAATTCACTCTTTGACAAGGCAGGTATATGCTTCCATCATTATTACAAGGAATTAATGAACAACCCCCACTCCCCTTGTCCTTTATAAGTAATGTTGAAGCTGTATACCTTTACTCTTAAATTCTTCTTCTCTTTTCTAGCTGTTTATTCTTCATTTATTCCTTCTGTCTTTCTTTTCTTCTTTATGTTTTGATGTGCAAAGTGAATGAGATGTGTCGCTAATACCTAGAGGGCATTTAGTTTATTAATTTTGTTTGCACATAGATGGTTCAAGAAGTGCCTTGTCACTAAGAATCAGTTGCTGGGCTGACCATATTGTGCCTGTTTACCCCGTTACTTGAATTTTTAGAGAGAATTTTGATTATTGTTATTTTTAGTAACATCAAACTGATGATAATAGAATTAATAGCATAAGATTAAAGGATTGGTGTAAACAGGTAAAGTCAGGTAAGCCAAGTCATTAGCTCCTCATTGACTACGAGGTTTTGGAGACCTGTGTATAAATAAGATTAACAGAACAAAACTTCAATGAACAGTTCATTTACCCAGTGCCAATGGGTTAACTTCCAAGCTCCCCCCCCCGCCCAAAATTAAATGGTCTAGGAGATTAAAAAGGCTAATTTTGTAACTGTCTCTATTACCTCTATAGATTATATACAGAGGAGGAGAAAATGGCTTTGTCTGGGTATTTTGTCAGGATTTGATACTAATTTATAAAATGCCTTCAAAAGACTTTTTTTTTTTGCATGTAACATTCTGTATTATAGTTACCATGGTTTAGTTGTTACTCACTTGTTTTAGAAGTTGGCTTAAATTATATTTTTCCTCATTTTTCAATTCATGATCTGTTGGGAAGAGGAATGAGGGTTTGTCTTTGCATGTTTATAGTATAAGTGGCTGTGTTTAGGAATGATTAGAAAAGAAGGAAACATTGGTATTGGAAAATGCTGGGAATGGGGCAATCTTTTATTCAATGAGATGGCTTATGCTACAAGTGTATTGTTCTGGCAAGTTTAGGCTTTAGATACATTTCCTTTGTATATTGGTCTGGTTACATTTTTCATATGTGTATTGATGTTTGCCCTGATCATGGTGACGTGTGTGTGTGAGGTGTGGTGTGTGTGGGGGGGTGTTGTCTGTGTGGTGTGTGGGTGTGGTCTCTGTTTCTGTGGGTGTGTTGTGTGTGTTTCTGTGGGTGTGGGTGTGTGTGTGTGGTGTGTGGGGTGTGGTGTGGGGTGTGTGTAGGTGTGTAGTGTGTAGAGGTGCATGTTGTGTGGGTGTGGGTGTGTGTAGTTGTTTGTGTATTAACATATTTGTATTTATATCTATATATATAAAATACCTTTATAGAAATTAAAATCATATAACACTTGGGTTGGTGTATTATTCTTAATGTCGAACACTGATTTACTGCCATTGTATATAGTTTCTTTGTGTGCTTTATGACATGTCTTCTTTTTCTTCTGTTTATATGCTTTT